TATGCATATGTATATCTCTGAAAATTATGCTAAATTTTTGATTAAACATTCATTAAAACTCGCACTAAACTGCAAGCTAATATGTGTTTATGTGTGTGTGAGAAGTGTAAATATGAATGCAATACATTTATATATATATAAAACTGCCATAACCGAGAGTTAAAAATAAGGAAACAGATTATTTTTAATCATATGAAATAGAAAAATTACATTTACAAAGTTACCTATATACAAATTGTTTTGTTTTTTTTTTGTTTTTTTGTTTTTGTCCGGTTCTTAAATGCTAGAAAAAACGTTGTTTTTCATCTTACTTCTGAACTTAGCCTATTTTGAATATAATCGAGGCAACATGCGCTAACAAATTGCAAATTAGAGAATTTGCGTGCATTTTACCCACCAGCTTTCAGTGGATTAACTAAAAGGCCTCAGCAACAACTTAACATGATAAAAATACTAAGATTTTACATGTACATATATATAGATCGCTATATATCTGCGTAATGAATAAATATATAAACTAAGTTTCCAAAAAAATATCAAAAATGGATACGCAAGCCAGCTATGAAACCGGGATCTCTCGTCTGGTTACGTTCGAAGAAGACAAATAGACATTTTACAAAAGCCTCAATTACTGTTTTGTGTTGAGCTTCTCTAGACATTGAATAGTGTTCGGGCTTTTGAGTCGAAATTGAATTGACTTGCAAAAGTCGCAGTGAAAATTATAATAAATAATAAACTTAACTTARCCGGCAACTAAATATATATATATGTATATAAACATTTACACAGTTGTTAATGTGGCTGCAGCTGTTGCTGTAGCTGTAACTACACTGGGTCGTCGCTTCTTAATAGGCGGCGGCGTTTCAGATTCAATCGCTGGACTGGCCGCAGACGTTGGCGACTGCAATTGCTCCATGGCTGTTGCACTTCGCCGCTTATTGCTGGGACTGCTGGTGCTCGAGGTGCTGGTGGCAGCAGCTGGTAGTGCATCGACGTCGAGAGCGTTGCCATTGGTGATTTCGGTGACAATGTGTGCCTCCAGTGCCGGCGGTAGAAGCGGTGATAGGGGCACCGCATTTAGATCGCATGCTTCCTCATCGCTGGCCACAACGTTGCTAAAGAGATCAGCTTCGCGCACACTTGCCCCATCCTCCTCCTCCTCGTAGTCCTCGCTAAAGTCACTATTCCAGAACACTTGAGCGCCGGGAAAGACATACGAGCAGCTATTGCTGTGGCAATAGAAGGTGCCGGGTTGTAGGCGTTCGGCTATGGTCTGTCGTCTCGGCTGCGGCGGAGTCGGTGTTAGGCTGGGCGCCGCTGTCTTAGTTTCCACAACCATATTCGCAGAAAGGTTTGGGTCCAAATTGCTGGCATAGCCGGCGGACACTTCAATATTGCTGGGATTGGATGCCTCACATTGCTCAATGCCACTATCCTTTGACGAGTCAACGGACAGATGACGGTAGCCGGCGGTGGTGGCACCATTTGCCACTGGAGCCGCCAAACGATCACAACTTAATGCCGTCTCATTCAATTCGACGAGTATGTCGCTCTTGATGCGTTCAATGGCTTCTCGGTCTGCATCGGCTGCATTGCTGTGGCTGCTGCTGGCAACTGGTTGCGGTTGCTGCAGCATCAGATGCTGCAGCTGATCTCGCTTGCTGTGTTCCGCTGTAAATGTGGAAGACTCGAAGCCGCTATCGGAACATGTGCCTGCCGATGACCCGAGCAGATAGTCAACCGAGCCATTTGATTTTAGGGACTGCGTATCCGTGTCTAGTTGTGATGGTTGCTCACACTCTGAGCTTCGAAGTCGATGATGGTGATAATGATGATGATGATAATGATGCTCTGTCGGTGGCAATAGCTCTCTCGATTCACGCAAAACTTGATCGTCACAGCAAAGCTGTTTCCAATCATGGTCGTCATCGCTGGACCCAGCACTCGACAGACGTTGACAGATCTGATTAATTATAACATCCGAATCGCCCAGAAGTTCCACATCGAACTTCAGATGATGCAGCTGCTCGCGATTGATCAGAATCTGCGGCACCGAAGCTGGTATGCTGCTGGGAATGTGTGCGACGGGGCGTACCTTGAGCGACGAGCCGATCACAATCAGCAAATCGCATTTGTCTTTATCTGTGGCCATAACCGTGTGGTACTCATCCGGTAATCCTATGATTATGATAAAACAGAAAAACAATTGTTTATATAACTAAATAATAGATTATAAATAAACAAAAAATAATTAAAAATACGATAATCTTTCAGCAATTGAAAAGGTTTGAAATAGTGTTGAATAATTTGAATATTTCAAACTATAGTGTTGGCTGCACTTTTTTCTCCTTACAAAGTGAAGTTGGCAGCGATTCGCCATATCTTTATTCAAAATTAGTTTTTGAGCTAGTTGGTTTCTCTTAGTGACTTGAGTTTAAAATTTAAAGACTAATCTACTATCTACTACGTACCTTCGCCAAAGAAGACTATATCTGGTTTCATGATGCCATTCTCTACCAGCTGCTTCAGCTGCTCCTCTGTTACAGCTACGGAAGCATCAACGCTGTGTTCCACATTCGGCTGGCATTGCGGGCACACGGGTATGCGTTGGGCAAATATATCGGCACGTAGTGCATCCGCATTGCACTTGTATTTGCATTTGGTGCACGATGCCGTCGAAAATGAGCCATGGCATTCAATCACCCGCTGAATGCCCGCAACACGCTCCAATGTGTCTATATTCTGGGTATAATTCCGCAACAGCTTGCCCTTTGTCTCCAGCATCTTGATGAAACGATGACACGGAGAGGGCTTGAACTCGCCGGGATAAATTTCGCGAGCAAATTTATAGAAGGGTCGCGGATCGCGCTTGAAGTAGTTAATATCGAACATGGCCTGCGGATCAGGCAAGTCGGGAAAATCATGCGCCAGTCGTGCATAGATACCATTTGTAGAGCGAAAATCTGGTATGCCGCATGAAACAGAGACACCGGCTCCAGTGAGCACAATAATCCGCTCCGACTTGTGAACCAAATCAATGACATCGTCAAAGGTGTTAACGTTGCTCAGCTTAGTGCGACGCTTCGGTTCATTCAACAAATGTGCCAGGTAATCCCACAACACCGAGTCCTCTGTGTCTGCTGCCAATCCAGTGGCAAAGTGCGGCATTATGCTGGCAATCACCTGGCGGGGTACGCGACCAGTGCAAAATTCGCGCTGTAGCCAACGCATTTTCCAGTCGCTGCGGCTCACAGATGAGCAATCCGAGCTGGAGGTGTCATCATCATCATCGTCATCGCTGTTGGCCCAGCTAAAGAAGTTATAGATGAATATTTTATACAAATGTGTATTTTTTTTTTTTTTTTTTGCCAATTTGATATAAAAAAAAATAAATTAAGACCTAAGTTGAAAAAAGTTAAATTTAGAAAGGATTAGTTTGTTATTTATAATTTTGTAATTGGTTAATAATGTTAATTTATATGAGCATCATTCAGATGCGCTATTTATACCTTGATTTGTAATCTTCATTCTCATCCTCATCTCCTTCATCATCATCATCTGCCTCGGAGAAGGATCTTTCCAAATTGTTTGTTTGTTGCTGGCTGTTTTGCTCCGCATTGGTTACATTTTCGGCATTTCGATTGGCGCCAATTTGATGTTCTCCCATTTGAGGCAATGTTTTTGTTTTGATTTCACTATTTTCTTTTGGTTTCGTTTCGCTTGTTGCTGGCGTCGTTGCTGTTGCTGTCGCTACTAATGTTGTTGCTGCTGTTGCTGGCTTAGCATTTGTTGTCACAATTTCAGCGCCAAAATCGAAATTTGCCTGCGTGTGCTCAAAAATTTGTAGCTCGTTGCGCTCGGCTTGTACTTGGACTTCGTGTACATCCCCAATCTCTTTAAAATTAATATGTCCTAGTCGAACATCCATGTCCTCAAAATTTTCCATCATTTTTGCCAGGCGCAACACAGTTTTCGTGTGTTATGCTTTATCTGCTTCTTACCAAGCACTCACGCACACCACCAGCGAGTAGTTACGATTTCTTCTTTTTACTTTCTCGCGTTCCGTTTTCTCCTCTCTTTCGTTGGTACACACACAAAATTTTTACGTCTCTACTTTGCATCCATTTTGCTTGCGTAAAAACGCTATTTTACGGCGAAAAATCCCACTTTTTTAATTCAATCACTTCTATTTCCGATTTTTAACTTAAAAGAAAAATTTTAGAAAATTTAAAAGCGATTTTTATGAAATTTTTTTCGTAAAATTTGTACGTAATTTCTGGAAAATTTTCCGATGATGTGACGTACAAGTCACCTAGTGTGCCCAAAGCAAGCGTTGGAATAAATAATTAAATTTCACCACGCCCAACGTGTTATCTACGAAGACGCGCATTGATGACTCATGTTTGTGCTTTTTAGCAGACAGCATACGGTCACACTGCAAATAATTGGTATTCGCACAAAAAATATGAACAATAGCTCAGCAAAAAAACGTAATAGCTATTGATTCGTAAAATGAATGATGTTTTTGTGGTTTCCATTAGTACAGATGCATTTTAAAAATAATTACAGTACTTTACCTATTTTTAGGGTGACCACTTTTTATGTATCGTAGTGCAATCGTGTCTTTACAACACTAAATCGACTTCGCTATCCCCACAGTTACCCTTTAACAATGCAATTATTGCATTCATTGAACACTTGTCCTCAAAATCTTTATAAAATGAATAATTAAAGGGCATAATTCAAAATTGATCAAACAAAAACGTACAGAGGCTGATATTCCAAAAGACTTCGGTAAGCTGAACCGTATAGCATGCCAGTTGTACAGCTGTTAACACAGCTGCTTAGAATAGAGCCAATTCAAAAATCAAATGAAAACAACATAATGAACATCGTAACAATTTGAAATGCAAATCAGTTTGTCACAATTGTTTTAAATTATAAAAATTTTCTATTGATTACCATGTACGGGCATTGTCTTTGAATATAGGGGCTAGCGCGCAATCGCAATGGACAACCTGAATTTGTACCATATTCTTGGCGTGGCAAAGAATGCGACCGCAGATGATATTAAAAAGGTTCTTGGTTGTTTTTCTCGTATTCAATTTACTGATACCTAATCAACCCCGTGCCCAACATAGAATTATCGCAAATTGGCCAAAGAATTCCATCCGGACAAGAATCCCAATACGGCTGATAAATTTAAGGAAATATCGTTCGCCTATGAAGTACTTTCCGATCCGGCAAAACGTCGCATTTACGATCGGTATGGGATAAGGGGTCTGCAGGAAGGCGCCGAAAATGGCATGGGTACATCGGAGTTTTTCACACAATGGTTTGGCGGCATAAACGATGGTAAAGTTTTGATCAAATTGGAGTTGACGCTGGAGGAGATTTACACGGGTGGCAGTAAAAAAACGTTGCAATATAAGCGACAGAAGCTATGTGACAAGTGCAATGGCGAAGGCGGCCCACCGCAGGGCCGAGAAACCTGCGAGACATGCGAAGGTGTGGGCCACAGACCTGCCTTCACATTTATGGGTATGGCCAGTTTCGATGTGGTAAGTGGGAAGTAACCAGCTGAGAAAAGCATCAATTAATTGTCCACTGTTTGCTAGCCTTGCTCCTCATGTGATGGTCGTGGCTTTACCATCAAGGAATCGATGCGCTGCAAGAAGTGCACTGGCTCCGGCTTTGTGGAACAGCAAATGCATCGTGATATTGTGGTTGAACGCGGCGTGCCACATATGTTGAAGTTGCCCTTTGCCCATGAGGGACATCAGTTGCGTAACGGAGAGTATGGGGACCTCTTTGTGGTTATCGTGCAGGCTGAGCATCCCTTCTTCAGGCGTCGCCATGCAAATCTGTATATGGGCGATCTAGAGATTAATCTAACAGAGGCTTTGTGCGGCTATACGTATTGCTTCAAGCACTTGAATGGACGGCAAGTGTGCATGGCCACGAAGCCGGGCGAAGTGCTGCGGCACAATAATATCAAAATGATGAAAGGAATTGGCATGCCGGTGTTCACCAAACCGGAAGATCATGGTGATCTCTTTGTACAGTTCAAGGTGAACTTCCCACCCGATGGATTCGCCACGCCAGAGCAGTTGGCCACGCTAGAGACTGTGCTCCCACCGCGTGTAAAAATTACAGCGCCGGCCGGAGCGCAGCATGTGGAAATGTCAGACTATAAGCCACAACCACGTCTGCCAGACACCGATGATGAAGATGAAGCGCATTTCAATGGCGTCCAATGCCAGACAACTTAGTGGTGGGCATGGGCGTATCCGTGGCTGTTACAGGCGCGTTACCTCGCCATCGATCTTTGGAACCTGCGGCCCACGCTTGGCGTGGACGAGTTGTGCTTTTTGGTGCCGCTAATCGTTTTACTATGCATAGTATTATTTTTCATACAGGAATGTCTGCTGTGATCAGCGCGTGATGCAAAATTTTGGCTAATTTTTTATTAGCCAGAAAGCCCCTAAAAAAATCTTAGACTTAGCTTAGCTAAAAGTATGGATAGTAGTTGTTATTATGCTGTTATTAGGACCCCAAACTGAAAATTCTGTGTTATACTATTTACTCAAGCCTAATCATTATGCAACTAAAACTATATATTTATCGAAAGCAAAATTATTTGCCAAGTAAATTTCAAATAACATGTACTTTTGACTACCTATATCCTATAGCTCCCTTTAGAAGAAATAAATTAAGAAAAGACTCAATTCAAATTTAAATGTAAATGTAGAACAAATCGAACAAATCTCTAGTTGAGTCGAAGACTAACTACTCTTATTGATCTCATGCAATGCTTTATACTCTAGAATGAATTTCCCCAGTTATCTATTTCTAAGCAATATTATATTCCAATATGAAAAAGTGCTATTAGCTGAATATGAATAAGAACTAATAATATAGCTATAAAATTAAATTTGAATGTAAACGCAGACAAATTCGAGCAAAATGTTTAGCAAGTCGAATCTGTTGGTAAATCTCGTAAGCTTTACTTGTAATGATCTCATGCAATACTCTCAGCATAATCAAGCCCTTCAGTAAAATTCGATTCCTTATAGCTGTTCTGCAAGACTTTCAAGGAATATAATTTAAGCAATCTTTTATTCAAATATGAAAAAGTGCAATAAATAGCTATATATACCGTATAAACATAACGGATAACAAATAATTCCTGTATAAATAATTGCAATGCCAGTTTGTATAAATAGTAAAAGCAAATGATTAGTGTAATTAGTGTAATAGTCCTGTTCATGATGCGAGTTATCCTTTATGTGAATGCTTATTGGATTTGCTGCTTGTCTTGCTGTGCTTTTGCTTCTGTGTCGAATGGCTGCGTTCCATGGACCGTTCATTGGTGTGCGCTGGGGGCTGCTCCGCGTGGGATTTGCTGGACACACGCAAGTCGAGAGCAGCAAAAGAGTCTGATTGTGCATCCTGAATCTCTAGATTATCCTCCTCGAGCTGAGGCAGAGCAGCGAGCAGCTGTTGCTGGTGCTGCTGCTCCAGATTGCTGGGCTGCATCTCGCCGCAGCGCATGGTCTTGGCATCGGCTGCCTGCTCGGCGCTGACCTTCATGAGGGTGAGATATTGATTGTACTTGGCATAGTTGCGTCTGCCCGTCTCATCGTTCATCAGCACCTGCGCCTGGGTGTGCGACTTGTCGCGCATGGCCTTCAACCGAATGTGCTTGGTAATGTCCCAGCGCCAGTTGGAGCGGTACGAGCACAGCGAGCACTCGAACGGCTTGCGGTTCAGATGGCCCACGATGTGGACGTGGAAGCGTGAGGCGGTCGCTGCCCAAAATGTGCAATGCGGACATTTGAAGACCTTCTTGAGGGCATCCGAGTCCTCCGGCTGCAGTTGCTCCGTGACCTGGCAAAGGGCAGAAGTTACTGCTGAATCGTTTCTAGGCTGCTCCTGAGTACCTACCTCGCCATAGCCGGGTGCCGTCTCGACACCACAATAGCTCAGATCGGTGCTAGCACCGCGAAAGTCCTCCTCCCCGGTCAGATCCATGTCGCAGGCCAGCTGCGTGGTGTTTCGCAGCGCCGGCTCGCACTGCTGCAGATGGCTGATCAGCTCCATGGCGTTGGGCACGCGCTGCTGGCAGTGTGAGCAGCTGATGGGCGGCAGCTCGGACAGTGGCGAGCCAGAACTAGACCCAATTGCCCCCACGATGGGACTAGGACAGAGCTCAGGGTCCATCGATTCTGCCTGATCAGTTGACGAATCCAGAGCGGCTGCTCCTGCTGCCTGATGTTGCACTTGCTGCTGCTGCTGCTGCTGCTGTTGCTGTTGCTCCTGCGAGCTCGAACGTCGAGCCACATGATGGTTGAGCTCATGTATGGTCAGCGATTGCTTGATGTTGGTGCTGAAGTCGCAAACGGCGCACTTGAAGTAGCCATTGGCGCCATGGTTCTTCGTGTGCCTGTCCAGGTTCCATTTGTAGGGCGAATGAAAGTCACACGAGCCGCACTTGATCAGCGGCATCGTGTGATACTTGACGTGCTTCTTAAAGCGTGCACGGATCGGTGTGCTGTACGAGCATTTCTGGCACTGGTACTGGGTGACCGAGGAGCTGCCGGCCGACAGATCGAGCGCCTCGGGTGTCACACACTCATCGGCAGGCGGCGAAGCCTCCGAGTCCGAGCTGCTGTTCTCCGGCTCACGGCCCAGCTCCTCGACGGGTCGAGCGCTCGGCAGGATGGCCGATGCCGGCATCAGCATGCACATCTGGAACTCGAAAGCCATGGAGAAGATGTTGGCGCTGCGCGAGACCATCTGCTGCAGATGCTGCAGCTGCTGCTGGCGATTGAACGCCTCCACATTGCTCAGCAGCTGCTGCTCCTGCAGCTGCAGCTCGCTCTTCAGCTGCTTGAGCGAGGGCCCCGCCTGCATGGCACTGCTCGCCAGCGTTGCTCCCCTCTGGTCGGCATCAACTGCAAGGGGTAGTGGTAGTGGCAATGGCAGTGCCAGTGGCAGTGGTACTACAGGTGCAGCAACACTCTGCTGCAAAGGGGCTGGCATCCCAGTTGGCGCCTCGATGCTCTCCTCCAGGCGACGCTTGCGCGCCTCCCGATTGCAGTGGCGTCTGCCGGCCAAGCCGTTGCTGTCATCGTCCGAGCAGCCGTGCACCATCTTCATGTGACGCACCAGCTTCTGGAAGTGGCGGGAGGCATACAGGCACAGCTTGCACTCGTTTATCACGATCTTCTCGCCGTGCACGTCGCGCAGGTGAGACAAATGGCTGCGCGGATTCTGCGTGAAGAAGGCGCACGCATTGCAGCTGTAGTTTCGCCGGATCTTGCACTGCGGCAGCTCCTCCTCGGGCCGCGACTCTAGCATGGGCAGCGATTCCTTGCAGCCGTCCTCCTGCTCCGCCTTGGACATGGCCGACGGCACCATCGGCGGCTGCGGCTGAGCAGTTGCTGTCTGATTGTTGAGGAGCTGCAGCTGGCGCTCGAGCATCTCGGCGCTGACCAAGGGATGCGTGGCCATCGGATTGGCACTCTCTGCCGCTGCTGCGTCACTCTCCTCCATTGCTGTCTGAAAGACTGTGACACCACTCACCAGGCTGCGCACCACCAAACGGCCACCCGAACGCTCTACCATCGACGGCAATTCCATATTTAAGTTTTGCCCTCAGTTTTTCACTATTCAGATTGCACGATTTTTCCACAAGATTTTTCTTTTGTTTTTTCTTCAATTTTTTCCTTAGACTTTAAGTTTTTGGTTTTTTTTTAGCGATGTTCACACTACGACAGAACAGATTGAACTAAACCACTTTTCAGACCGTCAAACGGATGGTCGACTTTTTCTATTACGCAAAGGCTACTGGGTCTCGAAATCAAAGCGGTTCCTCGAGTCCCATGCGTGCTATCGGAAAGCCTGTCAAATTCATGGGCTTAACCAACATCAACTACAAATTTCATATACGACTCTGTATATATGTAAATATATTACGAAATCTAGACTGGCATCAACTGAGTTCTGTAAATAAAACAGAAAAAAGGCAAAATCAAGAGACTGAAACAGTGGCAGAGCTAAGCTAGGCAAGCAAAAGAGCAGAGGGCGTAAGCACAAAAAAATAACTAAATAAAAAGAAAAGTAAAGAAAATTAGCCTCAAAGTGACAGCAAAAGACAGGACACAATGTGTATGTGTGTATGGACTTTAAGAAATATTGCTACAGATGTGAAATTGAAGAGTTTTGCGAAAAGAGAAAACTAAACTGCAGTACAAAATTCCTATTAGCAAAAATGAAAAAATGAGAACTAAAAGTAAATAGATAGGATATATAACTGGAAATGCTTGTTTGAAAGACTAAGAGACAGAAGGGACTAAGGGTAAGACCCGAGAAAGTCGGTCAGCACCGGGCTATAGCGTCTATAAAAGAGTCCTATCAGTCTCAAGGCATAAGCTACGTGAGAAATATAGAGTCGGACGAAAGCTATAGAGAAAGACCTAGCAAAACCCTGTGGCTGCCGAGGTCGACAGTAATGCAAAATGATTTCTGTACAGGGTAAGAATAGATTATATTAGAATAGAACCGGAAAATTTGTTTTTATAAATTACATAGAATAATATAAGATAATAAAGAGCTCATAAATCATGTGCATAAATATGAAAATAAATATTTGAATTGACACTTATGTAAAATAGCTTAAAATTAATGTTCTTTACAAATAGATTAATAGATACTAAGGATAGTAAAGGAGTTGCTCGTAAAATGACCCGCATTTAAGTTAGATTTAATCAGGTGCATAGGTAGAGCTGCTTTTTTCCATACTCACCTCATGTTTAGTATTTAAAAAGCTAGGTATATAACTAATACAGCCTTGGGTGACTATAAACAATATGAACTTAAAATCTAGTGTTGCACTTGAGTCGCTACTGCTCGATGACTTCCACCAGGTGGAGAGGTAATAGATGCATCCAGAGGCCGGGATCAACCTGCAGCTCATGCTGGCTAAAGTTGAACAGCGATGGCAGCCGCACTCCGTTGGGCATGTGGGTGTTGAGGGCATCCATGGTGCGCAGCTCGTCATAGCTGGCGTGGGCACAGGCTCGCAGCGGGGCGATGCGAGCTTTGGGATCATACTGCAGGCAAGCATCCAGCAGTGCTGCCAAATCCTGTGGCACCCAGACGCCAATCAGGATTTGCCAACTGGGTCGCGGGATGATTGTAGTTGCGGTGTCCAGGCCACTGGCTGCTAGGATATGAGGCGCACGCTCCAAGCCGTCGGTGCCCAGGACACTAATCATGTGCAGCAGCTGGGCCTCGTCGTGCATGTTGCTGGCGAAGAGCGCGAAGCTCTTGAGCAGCTCGGCGAGCACACAGCCGGCGCTCCAGACGTCCACCGTGGTGCTATAACGCTGGCACCTGGCATAGAGTTCGGGCGCCCGATAGAACCGCGAGCAGACGTACGTGGCACTGGACTCGTTGACGTCCAGGAACTTGGCGCTGCCAAAGTCGGCCAATTTGAGGCTCATTGTGAGCGGATCGATCAGCATATTCTCCGGCTTAATATCCCGATGACAGATGCAGTGCGAGTGCAAATAACCGAGGCCCCGGAACAGTTGATAGGAAATAATGCGCACGTAGATCATCTGCAGGGGTCGCTGGCGATGCTTGATTATGAGCTCGGCGAGCGTCATTGGCATGTACTCCATGGCCATGAGCAGATAGTTTTGCTTGGAGCAGTTTATCTGGGCATAGCAGTACATGATCAGGCGCACTATATTGCAGTGCCCCTCAAGGTAATTCATTATTTCCGGCTCACGTTCCATCAGGTAGGGATCGAAGTCGACTTGCTTTAGAGCCACCAGACGCTCCGATTTGTCGAGATGCGCTTTGTAGACGCGCCCGAAGGTGCCTTTGCCAATCAGCTCCTTAACGGTAATTGTGGTGCGGACCGGTTCCCTGCCACAACGTGTATAGGCCATGACCATAAAAACGCTTCCATTCGATATTATTGAGTTGCATGACGGTATCAGCGTGGATTCCATTTGCTTTGTAATATAAAAGACTTTAGCTGGCAGTTTAAAGGACATTACAATTAGCGTCACAGAAATGAAAGTATTTTAATTTTTTACTTACACATGTTTATTTTTCCCAATTTGTTTATATTTGTTTGATCTATACATACATATGTAGTTGATATTATGCTGGCAGCTTATAAAAAGCCAAGCTGCGCTAGCATTAGCTAAATTAACGCCTTCATTATGTCTATGCTTAACTTAATAATAACATGCGAATATACATATACGAGAAAGGCAAACCACACTGGCAGCCGTTATCCTCCTCTCGCTCTTCGTTCAGTCAATGTCCGGCAATTGATATCTCTATCGCACACACAGCAGCAATTGACGTATACAGATTTCTAGTGTTATTTATTTATTTACTTTGTACTTTTTAAGCAATTTGTTTGCATATTTGAGTTAATATTTAAAAAAGAACCGCGTTGTTTTCAGCGCCACGCATGCTTATAGGGCAGTGCTGCCACCTAACGTTGGCGTTGCCACAAAATTATGCATTTGCAAGCATTGCGCTGAAATTCACCACGCACTGTGCGTTTTCACCAAACGGTTAAGTGGTGGATAATGTATTTAAAAATAAGCTTCCATTGTCGTTTGCACTGTAAATGAAATTGAACTGAAGAAAGGAGATTATCATTCAATTTAAATCAAGCAATAGAATCAATTCGATTGTATATCTAGTGGAATTGCAGTTGATGCTATCTTTCTCTTAGTTTGGCAGCTGAAGAACATTTAGTTGCATTAAGCCTTAGACTTTAATATGTTAAGACCTCAGCGAATCGCTAGTGTTTGTTTGTTTGTGTCTCTTGCTATTTCCATTTCCGGTTGTGCTGATGAAAAGAAAAAAGCAAACTTTCGCCACCAAAGTTTATGGGCCGTAGCAGCAGCAGCAGCAGCAGCAGCCGAAGTAGGCAACACTTCAACGAGAAATGTCGCTTGCCATCCTGCTCTGCGGTTCAGAGTTGAAATTCATGTAATTCCATTAACACAGACAACTTCCGTTAGACGAGCAAATGACAGGCTCGCCTAATGGGCGACGCGTGTGCGATGCCATCGTTGACGATGTGGATGCGGCTGGGCATTGTGGCATTCACACACACACACGCAGGCATACAAATATATATTATATACATATACATATATATTGTGCCGTTTACTGCACGGCTTTGCGTCAGTTTCAGTTCAGTTATCAGAGCCCTTTTATTAAGCATCCGCCGAGCCACCCACCACCCTTGGCATTAAAATTAAATTCCCAAATTCAAATGGCAGCTTTTACGATGATATAAATCGCAGCCGGTGCAACAGGTCCCACAAACCCAAACACACGCACACACACTAACAAAATGGCTAAAAGTTCATTGAGAGCAGAGCAAAACCCGCAAAACGGAAATGACTGTCAGAGCAAAGTGGCAAGTAGCATAGCTATGGACAGATATTCCGGATGTCCGTATGGACTGAATATTTTTTGCGTTTGCCCTTGCAACACACACACAGACCATTCTGTCTTCCGCTTTTTTCTTTTTCACTTCTTTTTTTTTTTTTTTTTTAAGGCTGCTCTGCATTACAAATTCGAGAGTAGGAAATTTTTAGAAGTGTATGGAACTTGGATTTAGGATACGTATGTATGTGTGTTAGGTGTATAGGATTAGGTAATAGTAAATTTAAACATATTTAAAATTAAGTTTATTAGGCAGGTGATGAAAATGAGAAGTCCTAGGTAATCGACTCAATAAGGCACAATCGATCCTATATAGAGGATACCTAATGACCGGGAAGTACTCGGAAATTTCATTCTTCATTTATATTTATTGAATCTTGTTCAAAATATGCTACTGTCTAAATGATTCACATATTCTAAAATAAACTGAAGTTCTATAAGATTTTTTAATAAAATATTAATACTACCAAATTCTTGAGCTCTCAATGAAGGGAGGTTAGGTTTTAAGGCGTCGTTGCATCAAAATAAGTTCTCTAAGACCATATTGAATATATTAATTAAAATATCATAAATAATTAATTAAGTGAAGCTATTTTTTTGTTTTGATTTAAGCAGTAAATTGATTTAATTATAGTTAATTAGCGAAACAAATGAAAAATTAAGGCGTGTTGGGGTCTAGTAAAAAATGGGCTTGTTCTCAGAACCTTTAAATGAGATTCGATACTTAATGGAATAAATTTGAAGTTGTTTTCTTTGGAATGGATTTTTTTTTTTATTACTTAATGAATGTAAAATGTTATTTATATAATATAATATTATATTACAATATTTTGATTCTACTCACGGTCCCTTGAAAATCAATAAGAGTGCAAGCTGGAATCATAC